TGCTGCGCCTGTAACGAGGCCAGCAGTCAATGGCAGCATAGACTTTAGAGTCAGGAAAACCCAAGATGGAAGGTGTGTGACCCTGTGGAGCAAGCTACTTGTCTGAACCTGAGAGTCTTCATCTATAAAATGGGATTAATAATATCAACCTCACAGCACAGTGCAGGCATATTGGAAATGCCCAGTTGCTATTATTATGGTCACCATTGGTGTCGACTGTGTCATCACTGTACCACTATTCTGTTACAGTTTTTATAGATATATTTTTTCCTTCAGCCCACACAGACTCACATGCAATTAGGATAGAATGCTCTGCTTTATACTTCCCCCCCAGAAGTATTCCATTTTCCATAGTGGTGTGAGTAACCCTTTTTTGCAGAAGATCCATCTAGGCCCAAGTTTGGGGCTGTGTTGAGGAAAGAACAAAATCATTTATGTCAGTGACTCTGAACCCTAGCTGAAAATCAGGGTCGCCCAGAGAGTTGAAAACAAAACAGCAACAAAAATTAGCAAACAGAATGAAACCAAGACACAGTGCCTGGGTTATCAACCAGAGATTTTCATTTAATAAGGCCCAAGCTTCAGTAGTTCTTAAGGCTCCCCAGGTGATTGTAATGTGCGGCTGAGAGCCACTGCTCAATGTGGGAAAGATTAGCACTTAGATCCCCTCTGGGGGAGAAGAAAGAAGCTCTTACTTTTCTATAATCTCCACCACAGTGGGGGAGGGGAGAGGACTGAAGATTATAGTTGAATTACTCCACTTATAATGTGAACAAGGCATTCTTATTATGAACCTGGATAAATGACTCATCATGTTAATCCTCTGGTTAGTGTCTTGGTTTCTCTTCTAGAGGTGTCTGATCTGATGAGAAAAGGAGTGATCATAAATGCTCCAGGACATGGAAAACGCTAGTCTGGAAATACCCGTGAGGGATTCACATTGGCTCGTGGGTGTCCATTCCATGGTGGGCTGGTTGCTGATGTCAGGTGTGAGCACTTTGATCTGGGGCAAGTGAAGTGATCCCTGCTTTGGCATAAAATCTAGCAAATATCTCAATGGAGATAGTTGCTGACAGCTGGGAGTGTGCTCAGACATAAAGGACCCACATATCTCATTTTATTGGGTTTCGCAGATACTCCATTTTTACAAATTGAAGGTTTGTGAACAGCCCTGAGTTGTCAGATGACGGTTAGCATTTTTTTAGAAATAAAATATTTTAAAAATTAAGGTATGTACATTTTTTTTAGACATAATACTATTGCACATTGAATAGACTGAAGAATAGTGTAAACATAAGTTTTATATACTCTACTGGGATACCAAAAAATTCTTGTGACTCACTTTGTTGCTGTATTTGCTTTACTGCAGTGATCTGGAACCAAACCCACAATATCTCTGAAGCATGCCTGTACATCTAAAAACCTGTAACTTCTTTTCCCCATTATTAAAGTGATATACAAAAGAAAATAAAGAAGATCAGGAAAACAGAAAAATAGAATGAACCCAGTAGAACAAATAATAACTAAGGCTTATAGAGTTATGAGGTTCTAGACATGGTTCTAAGCCCTTAACCATATAAATTTACCCCTCACTACAACTCTGTGAGGTGGATCACTATTCGAACTCCATTTACAGATGAGGAAAGAGGATTTGGAGCTATTAGGTGACTTGTCCACAGATAGTAAAGAACCAAGGTTTAGACTCATACTGCATTTAACGGGGTATGATCAACCTCAAAGGTACAGCTCATGAGGTAAGCTTTATCCAAGGATTCAATGCCACTTGCTAAAGTTTTAAAAGTTAATCTTAGTTACTATTCACTCAACTGCTTATTTCACAATTACTTATTGGAGGCATCTTAATTATCAAGATTTTGAAGAGTATAGAGGCTACCTGTCTAGTCATTCTTACAGCATTGAACTCTCAGGTGTCTCAGCAGAATATACATATGTAATCAACACAGTATAGTAAGATTAGAAATGTAGTAACTATTCCTTTCTAACAAAATTCAAAACCAACACTTCAAGACTCTTGGAATGTCACACACTTAACTAGTTGGAATGTTTAGCACTATCCTCTGTATTTTCATCAATTAGTAAATACACCTTGGACAATAATTTAAGCTGCATCTCAGGAATTTGGTTTTGTAGCAACATGCCTAATATAGCAGTAGTGTCTTCAACTCAGAAATTTGGTGTTTTTCATGGATGGATGGCTAGATGGCAGAACAGATGAATGACTGAACAGAGGAGAATGCTTTGCAATGTTCTAGTTGCTTAAAAATTACATCTTTAAAAATAATTTGGTGTTCTCCAGTTTGTCAAACAATAAACCCTGACTCAAGAGAAAATTTTTATTTTCTGTCCTTTCCATGGGTTAAATATGTAACTTCAAGCAAGTCATTATGGTGCCAGTTTCATCTGATTGTCGTCAGGATTAACAATGAGCTAACCTAAATGAATTATTTAGCACCCTGCCTAATCCATGTCAAACAGTCAGCATATTTTAAACTGCCTTTAAAGTGAAGTAATAAATGCAAAAAAAAAAAACCCAAAATTCAAATGATATGAAAAGCTATACAACGCAAAATAAGTTTCTTTTGGTAAAGTTTTCCTGTTGTTATTACTACTCTTATTAGAGATCTCCAAGCAAAAATAACCTTTCGCTGTTGATTAAGAAGGGAGAGGTTTACGGACTAGTAGATAACCTCGTTTGAGTCAGAACCAAGTGAAATAACAAAAGTATTCTGGCTAAATTCCAGCATGAGTGATTAACATTCTCCAACTTCAAATAATTTTTATTATTAGCCAACACTTGTCCTTCCCCAATAATACACATGTTGCATAAAGGCCACAGAATGAGGCAGTCTCCCTTGGCATGCTCACTATCTGTGCATACTTTCCACTGAGGATTTCCCTTTCTTTTTGATTGCTATTCCATAGCTTACAACTCCCACTACTTTCAACCCTGGGATGTTTGCCGACACTGAGTGCCAAGTAGTTCCAAAAACAGAAGAGATAAAATACGAGCACCTGTAGAATTCCAGGGAATGGAAGAGTAATGTACATTTTAAACATCTTTATTAACAGTTTAGATATTTGTGAAGCGATTAATATCTATTTTTTTTAACTTTGAGGCTGGGATTAATACACATATTCTTCATTATTTTCCGCAAAGTCTTACTGATAAGCAGGAGGGAGAGGGCTGTTCTGCAATTTAGTCTCCCAGTCTGTATGAATGGGATCCAGAACACAAGAACCACAGTAACCGCGGTCTATCTCAGCCCTTTAGTCCAGTCCAGAGTTCTTCGAGAACTCAGGCCCTCTTGCCTTTTTTCCGCCTTCTTCCCAGGAGAAGGAAGGGGAGGGGGAGCGGGAAATAATTCAAACCCTCTTTGTAAGCATGTGAATGCATTTCAAGAATGCTAAACACCTCAGTCTTTCAACCCAATTAGAACGTGTAGAAAAGAGGCATTTTTAGAACATTTAAAACTTGCAGCACAGTAACCCATCTGGAGAGCGCCACTGTGCGTCCCAGCAGTCGGGGCGCTCAGCAGGTCCTCCCGCGGGCTCCGGCAGCTCGGTGCGTCCCCGATTCCCCGCGGCGCGCGGGTGCGCGGTTAAGCAGCGGGCAGCCCCCGAGCGGGGGTGGGTGGTATGCGGCGCCCTGCCCATTACAGAGCCTGGAGCCAGTGTTGCTTCTCTCTGCGGGCGACTTCGGAACTGCCTGGATTTTTAACCTGATAAACTGATAAAGGACTAAAATGTCTCGAGTCTTCCAAACACAGAAAGAAAATCACTTGTCGCAACAGTAAGATTTTGTTACGAAATGCAGAAGTAAAGGTTAAAGCCTGGGAGATAACCGGTAGCACATGGGGGAGGGGCAGGGAAGATGTGGATAAAATTGTGGACGCCGTGGCGATTTGAACGCCTACTCTGTGCCGGGCGCTCGGAATACCGCGCTGAACAAGATTGTCTAGGTTGTGGCTTTTGGGGGGGAACTATAAATAGCTTGGTTGCCTTGATCAAATTTCTAAACCTCACTTTCTTCACCTGTGAGGCGTACTTGCCTCGTAGAATTGTTGTAAGAACTTGAGACATCCTGTATTAAGATGTAAACAATTAACGCGCTGTCCGACACACAGTAGGGGCTCAGTAAGCATTTGTTCTCTCAACTTTAGCTCACCTGGTCTGAGGATAGCGCAGAGGGGAGACAGGCGCCACGGTTAAGATCGATTCTTTTGAGTAGTTCTTTGAAACAAGCGCTGGATTCTAATAATGCTTAGCTGCAGAGGGGGCACTGGAAGCAAGGGTTCATAAGCTAGAACATCACAGGAAAGTGAGCCCGGCACCGGTGGGCGCCGGGAGAGAACTCAGGAGAGACTTCTAGCTAGGGTTTCCCGCCCCGGGTCTCAAGAAAAGCGTGATTAGCATGCGCCCCACCCCCATCGCTTCCGGGTCCGCGATTGGCCAGCGCTCCTGGGCTGCACGGTTCGGGCGGGGCCCGAGGGCGCCCCGGGAGAGGCAGAGCCTGCGGGGCAGTGGGCGGGGACGCGCGGAGAGCGTGGCAGGGCGGCCCACCAACCGAGCCCCAGCGCGAGGGGGCGGGGCTGGGGCGGAGCCTCCCGACGGGCATTAGAAGCAGGTGACCCGGGCGGGGCGGGAGAGGCCAGGCAACCCGCGGCCGTGACTCTACTGCAGCTACAGCTGTTGTTGCCGCTGCTGCGCGCCGTTTGTTATCCACCGAAGGTGGGCGAAAGGGTGCTAGAGCGCGGGGGAGGAGTCGATCCCGGCGCGTCCTGGGAGCGCCGCCACCGCCCCCAGGAGTCCGCTGGAGCGCGGAGCCCCCTGCAGGGGAGGAGGGGAGCGGCTGGCGGGACGCGGCGGCGGGCTCCCACCATGCAGTCCCGGCGGGGCCAGCGCCGGCTGCTCCCAGTGCTGTGAGGCGGCAGGATCC